AGCCACTCTTCCTGGCTTTCTGACATCTGCAAATTTGATAATCATACCTGCACACCTTTATCCTGGTTGCTAATAAAAATGATGAACAATATAAGGTCCTATACAAAGCCTTGAGGCATTCCACCTAATGTGCTACTCTCCAATCTGATGTGGAGCTATTTACGAGCATGCTTTAAATGCAGCCAATTATTAATCCATGTAATAGTTGTAACATCTAGCATATTTTACCGTGTTGTTAATGAAGAGATCACAAGAGACTTTGTAAAATGCTTTGCTGAAGTCAAAGTACACTATGTCCATGGCATTTCCCTAAACCCATAAACTAATACTTCTGTCCAAAAAAGATCAGGTTAGTCTGGCATGAGTTGTTTATGACAAACTCACACTGGTGCTTGCATACCTATCTAAATACTCATAGACATCTGTTTAATAATGGACTTTGGCCAATGTAAATGTCCATTTGATGGACAGTAACTTCCTGGGTCGTCATCTTCTTCTTCTTCTTCTTCTTCTTCTTCTTCTTCTTCTTCTTCTTCTCCTCCTCCTCCTCCTCCTCCTCCTCCTCCTCCTCCTCCTCCTCCTCCTCCTCCTCCTCCTCCTCCTCCTCTTCCCTTTTGTCCCCTCTTTTGGGATATGCCATTTTTCCAGGAGTTCTCAAATACTACCTTTAGTGGTTCTGCAATCACCTCTGCTATAGTATCTAGGATACAATTCATGTAAATTAACTTGAGTTCATTAAATGAACTAGGTGTTCTTTTGGCCTCTCCTTCCCTGTTCAGAAGTGTAGCTCCTCTTTCCATTCTTAGTGGCACAACCATGGCCACTAAGAATTCATTTCCTCAGCTACCTTCTTCAGCTGCTATGTATTTTAATTTTTATTGATGTATTTTTTTAAAAAAAATTTGATTTATATGCCGCCCTTCTCCGGAGACTCAGGGCGGCTTACAATGTGCTCAGCAATAGCCTTCATCCTTTTGTATATTTATACAAAGTCAGCTTATTGCCCCCACAAACTGGGTCCTCAATTTACCTACCTTAGAAAGGATGGAAGGCTGAGTCAACCTTGAGCCTTGACGAGATTCGAACCTGCAGTAATTGCAGGCAGTTGGTCTTAATAACCAGCTTAATAACAGGGTGCCTTAGACCACTGTACTACCAAGGCTCTTGGTAGTCATATTGATGATGTGTATTGTATTTTTTGTATTGATGACGTGACATGACAATACACATCTTGTCACAATACATAACTATTGTCACCTCCTATCATTTTGCCTACTTGCAGCAGATCTATATCCTCTTTGTGTTTTCTTTTGTTTTTAACATGCATTTTTTGTTGCGTGTGTTGGGGGTGTTTCTTGGAAGCCTCAATTCATTCTGAAGTGTAGCTTTTATGATAATGGTCCTTACAGTTTCCTATGGCTCCCTTGTATCTTTTGCTTATATTCTCTCCTTCTATATTTTATACATGTCTTTTTTTCCTCCAGCATTTTAGTAAGCTGTAAAATTCAGAAAGCCGATTGAATCTGAGGCCTTCAATGTGCAATTCAGATATATTTTCTCTGAAGTATACAGTTTCCAGATCCTTGGAAATAGGATCTGGAAAGAAAGCATCCAAGTAAAATAAATTAGACCTCTTTAAAAATTTCTCAGAATGTCTGAAGGGTTTTTTTCCCCCACAACTCCAGAAATTATGTACTGTACCTTGACCCTGATAAGTATATTTGTGATGGTTATGCTAATATGAGATAATTTTTTATAACTGAAACTATGCATTTCTTTTGTAAAATTAAGGACCATTTTAGTATTATAATGATATATATTGTTAGTCTGTATAACCATTCAAGCCTCAAGGCACATACTTTAGATTATAAATGCAGAAGGTTATTGGAAATTTCTATTAGCAATCATGAAAGTGCTATTTTTGATTTCATATTTGTTGCAAACAATGTACCTACTAAGATATATTACCTACTAAGAACTGGAAATATGTTTCCTTGATGAAATACAGAGAGCTGAAAACAAAAACGCTGCACATTTGAAGATAATTTGTGAATAAATTGCAGTCGTTGTTTTAATTTCTATTCAGCACCCTTTTTTTCTTTTCTTTTTATAACCTTGTAATCTCTTTTATCAGAGTGGACTTGGGGTGACTGAACGGAGCTGAGAATTTAATGTCCTTCCTGACATCTACATGGAGTTCGCAGCAGATATTTTCTCTTTGTACCCTGATAGAGAAACATCTGTCACTGCCTAGTATTAAACTCTCAACCTTCCGATTGGGAGGCAAGCGTCTTTATGTCTAAGCCACCACACCGCTCTATACAGCACCTGTATAAATTATTTAAATAAATGAAGATATTTTCTTTTACCATCTATATGATGTACTACAATTTTCTGTACAAGGATATCAAATATTACCATTGGTGATATTGATATGTTAATATGGGAAGAAGCATTTGCAGACTCCTAGGTTTAACTCATTAATTAGAATTAGGATGAACAGCATCATGCAAGTGGTGATTTATTAAGCATAGAATAAGTTGGAGGGTGAATAAGAATATCTCATTTATTAACCTCAAAGTGCAATAAAATATAATATACATAATTCAAATCTGCACAGTGCTCTTAATAATAGTAGAAAATAGATTGTAAAGACAAGCTACCTGATAGAAGGAGTATGTATCAAAGAGTTTTGTCTTAATGAAATAAAATTTGGGATTCAAAGCATAGTAACTACTTATCAGGAAATGGAAAAATATTTACATATATCATGCTCAGTAGTGAAATCCATTTTTTTTTTTTTTGCTACCGGTTCTATGGGCATGACTTGGTGGGTGTGGCAGGGGAAGGATACTGCAAAATCTCCATTGCCACCCCACTCCAGGGGAAGGATGCTGCAAAATCCCCATTCCTTCCCCACTCCTGGGGGAAGGATATTGTAAAATCTCCATTCCCACCCCACTCTGGGGCCAGCCAGAGGTGGTATTTGTCAGTTCTCTGAACTACTCAAAATTTCTGCTACCGGTTTTCCAGAATCTGTCAGAACTTGCTGGATTTCACCCCTGCTTTTTGATGTGCCTCATTTTACAGGACAAAGTTTGCAGATGTCGTTTACATATGAATTTCTCCTTCCCATACACAAGACTGCTTTTTAAAATTACAGCAATCCATTTTACTAGAAATAGGGGATATAGCCATCAAGCCCTTGTCATGGTCAGATCATTCACTCCTTCGATTTAGGACCTGGGTACTTACGAGATTGCCTTCTGCCACCGATGGCCTCCCACTGGCCAATACACTCCCACAGAGAGGGACTCCTCAGGGTGCCGTCGGTCAAACAATGTCGACTGGCGACCCCCAGGGGGAGAGCCTTCTCTGTGGGGGCACCTGCTCTCTGGAATGAATTGCCCCCGGAGATATGTATGATCCCTGACCTACGTACCTTTTGCCGTGCCCTTAGGACTTCACTGTTTCAACAGGCTGAGCTGGCTTAAATAACGAATTTTAATGGGTGTTTTCATTTTTTTAATATAAGGGCCAAATTATTTAACATGTTTTAAACTGTTTTTAAATTTTATGGCTATATGTGTTTTATTGTGGCTGTGCACTGCCCTGAGTCCCTCGGGAAAAGGGCGGTATAAAAATTTAAATAATAAATAAATAAATAATAAATAAATACTACATCCTTCACAAAATGAATATAGGCTTGCATCAGTATCTTTAACCAAATATTTGAGCCAAATGGACTGACAAATGTAGAGCAATCAAGATACTGAACTACTTTGAATTCTCTGTAATCTTCCCAGGATTACAGCCTGGTTCTTCTATGGATTATCTCTATCCAGATGGTTTCCAGTGGGTATCTAATCCTTTAGGAGATATCAAAAGTGACAGAACATGGTTTTGGCTACATCAGATTCATTTCTTGCCTAGACTTTTTTTCACTTAAATGTACAACAAAATATTTGATCCTTCAGTTCTGATGTAATTGTGTGACATTTGTGAGTATCGGAGGATTAGGATTAATTACAGATGTTTCCTGTTGTGGCAGGTGGATAGCAGCAATATTCATATATTCATCGGGTATTGGATAATATCTCAGAGAAGCACTTCTCTCTTTGCTGAATATAGAGGTGTGAAGGGAACCACAAATCATGGAAAGTAGGGTATGAACTGGATGGGGACTAGCAAAATTTGCCTCCTACATACTATATATTTAAAAGCTTCATAAAAGTTAAGTAACATTTTTTGGCAATCTTTTTTCCAATGGAAAAAGAGGTGCAATTGAGATATTGTTTAGAAGTCATGGAGGAATTCAATAACAGAACTTTTGAGATTTGGTTTTATACTCCATTGTGTATGAATGAGTTAAGCTTTTTTACGAACATCACTTATAGCTTTTCAGCTTCTGCATTGCCAAAATTCATGACTTCCAAAAATAAATGGTCACATCCTTCCTTTCTTCTAGACCAATTTAGTCAAATAAAGACCAAGGTCTATGGGCACCACCTGTAAGATTCAAGAAAGCCATTGTGGTTTTAGTACATTCATTCTCCCATGAATTTCATATTCACAGGTGGAACTAATGCAGACACCAACTGAATGCTTCATCATGCATGATGCGAAGAGACACGATGCAGTTCAGTTGAATGAAAGCTGAGCAGAACTAGTTGTATAACCTGACAGGATGGGAGATTGCCATGGACAGATGATTCTGCAATGTGTAAGGAATATATACTTTTTAAAAGTTTCCTTTTGTGATTCTGTCATGGCATTCCATTTTTGTGTTTATTTGTGAGTGTTTTGTAACAACAGGGAATTCCTGCTCCTTATGGATTGATGAGAAACTGGCATTGGATTTACATTCCTTTCAGTATCACATCACACTGTTGCTGTGGTTACACTTGTGATGCCACAAACAAAGGATTAAGAGAATAACATAGTATTCCCCTCCCTGTTGAACAAAGGTTCTGCCTCCTAATAGTATATCAAGATGGACAAGTGGCCTGATTCTTGTAAAAATAACTTTTGGTGATTGGCAATTCTATTATCTTTTAATTCTGATTAATTCTGCCTTATCTAAAATGGTCAATGTGATTTTGTGAAGTGCTGTTTTCAGATTCCTATTATTTTAGGGGCATTTGTAGATTTATAATGTTAAAATAAAGGGGCAGTACTAGATAGTAAAAATAAATTAGAATTCAGATATATGAGGAATCTACACTGTCATACATATTCTAATGAAAACTCCAAGGGGAAACACACATGCCTATGCTGTAGTGACAGCAATAGACAGAAGAATCCGTTTTATATGATCTGAAAAAATCACATACTTTAATTCTACTGGAAACACAATTACATAAGTAAACTGGACTTGTTTCAAAGTTTATAGTCATTTTCTTAATGTATGCAGAATGTTAATGTACATTGGTTAAGAGTGCATGACCTCCATCATATGAAAGTTTTAACATCCTATATTGCAGATTACCTGGCAGTATGTAATGTATAAATCATCCAGGGGTCAAACATGGCAAGTTTATCTCATCTGTTAATATTAATAACTGCATTGGCCACATATGTATCAAAGCTCAGCAAAGAACATGCTTGACCTAATTTGGATATGCCACTGGTACAAAAGACTATAGCAATAATTCACTGCTTTGGTATAAAACAGGAGTACCTTGTTAATACTTTTGTAGACAGGCCTTTGTATGACATGTCAGGATTCACACTCACATTCGGGGTCAATCTGGATAACACTAAAGTTTGATTTTTCAATATGTTAAGAATTACACTAATTGAATATGACTCATAGCATAGCAGGAAAAGACACAGGGGGTTTCCTCCCCTATCCCCATTCACTGTGCTATAAGAAATACAAAGCTGATTTTATGGGAGTTCTGTTTTGATGTTTCTGTCAGCAATTTATCAGCCTTCCTGTTTTCTTCAAGGATAACCCTACATAAACTAAATTCCAGTAATCGGAATAAGATCTTATTAAATGTTACTACTGTGGAAAAGCTATTGCTGTATAACTGTAACTGGACAACCAGCTGACAAAAGTGATAAAAAGCACTCCAAGACATAAGGCTTCCAATGTCAAGATGAACATAGTTCCAAGGTACATACTGACCCCTTCAAGTTGATCCAAGTAGACAACCAAAACTGAGTATCTTCGGGTATTTGAGCCTTCTGATGACAAAGATATTCCACTGCTGATTGGTCCTGAATGATATTACACTGGCCCAGACAGACCCAATGCACAATCTAGGGGTCCCCTAGGACTCATGGCTCCAACTAGAAGAGCAGGTGTCACCTGTGGGCAGGAGGATCTTTGCACACCTTATAGTTATGTGCCAGTTGCATCCTTCCCTGAATTGGGAGGCTTTGCTCACAGTCATTCATGCCCTCATAACTTCTCTGTATTATTGCAAGACACTGTGCATGGGACTACCCTGAAGCATATTCAGAAGTTTCAACAGAATGTGGCTGCACAAGTAGTAAATGGTATTGGTTATTAAAGTTATATAACATTATTGCTTCATGAGCTGCATTGGCTGCCAGTGTACTTCTGGGTGTAATTCAAAGTACTGGTTTTCACCTTTAAAGGTCTTCATGGCGTGGGGATGGGTTAGCCAAGGGACCATCTTCTACCAGTTGTTTCTACCCATTCAATACAAAGTTGAGCATCTTATGGGTCCTGTCAGCCAAGGAATGTCAGGAATGAGGACCACATGATGTGACATCTCTGCCATAGCTCTTGTCCTCTGGAACATTCTCCCTTTAGAGATTAGAATGACCCTGACCATGTTGGCCTTCCAAATTGGTTATGTGCCCAGGCCTAGAACCACAAGTGTGTTATGGGCCCTATTTCTTAGTTCTATTAATATCCATGGTGAAATTCAATAAATACATATTTATTTTGTGTTGTTTTGCTTTTATGATGTATCTCACTCAGTCTCATTTTTTTTATATGGGATACTATAGAAATAAAATATCTCTCTTTTTTTCTCTCCATCTCTTCCTTCCTTGTTTAGATTTTTATTCTGCCTTTTGTAAAATAGCTTACACATTCTTCTTCTATTTCTTCCCACAACAACAATCCTATGAGGATGGGATGATAAAGGATGCTGGTCCAAAATCACCTGAATACCACCTTTGATGTCGTCTTTTTGCCAGACATCTGGAAACTTTAGGTTTACATAAGACACTTACCAATGAAAGCAAGGATTTCTCAGTTTGAATTAGAAGCGAGCTACACAGGCAGAGTTTTCTAATAAAGGTGAATATTTGTAGCTCAGAGTTGAGATGAGGGGTCCTTGGTACTCTCTGAGCTTGTTTTCTTGAAGACATTTCATTACCCTAATTGAGTAACATCATCAGTGTTAGAAAGATAGAGTTATCTAACTATATCAATTAATACTTGGCTGATTTGTGGGCTTGGGTCTCCTACAAACACAGCCAATGTGGAGACCTTTGCCTCAATCCTGGATTGTGGTTGCCAAAGGGAGTGAATACTATCAGGGTAGAGAAAAAAAATCAATTCATATGCTCAGACCATTCTGCAAGCTTAGAATGCATCTGAGAGGAATCATACACAAAGAGCATGTCCCTATAGACATATATATGGCAAGAATCTACCTTATTATATATTGGATGGAGTCATTAGGGGAAGAGGGAATGAGAATGGCCAAAATTCTAATATTCTCTACAAGGTGCCTACAAGTGCTGTCTGCACAAAATGTGTGGTATGCTCTTGAACTAGTTATGGAGAAGTATAAGTTCTTAAATAAAGGCCCTTAATTTACAGAACTGTATTTTATTTCCCAAAACAGCTTCAGTACTTCAGTCAAGTTCACTTCTTATCTCAAATTGAGTTTTATTATTGAAAAAGCTTACTGGCTGAATTCAGCCCCCACCTCCTTTTTACCTAGAAAAGGTTTTTCTTCATTTTCATATCTTCTTAAATGCTCCAGGTAAGATTTTCTCTTTTCTTTATAGAACAGTATTTAATTTTAAAACCCTTCCTAAGTGCTGCAGTCAAGCACTTCCCTTAATCCAAACAATATTTTATTATCTAAACTGTTTAAGTAGTCACATTAGCAGCACTACTTATCCCTCAAAAGTATTTTATTTTCAAATCTTATTCTATTATGCCAGAATAAAAATCCAAGGAAAAAATATAATTCAACTACATGTAGTTCCTTGTGTCAAGTAGCAGGATAGGGATGGAGAAAGGATTATGGAGAAGGAATCATTATAATTTTGGAAAACATGTGCTTGGACTTTTGAATAGCTTATGATGGGATTTGCAATGAAAAGGGTAGTATGTTGTTGTGAAGATCCTCTCGGTCAACTCTGACTAAGGAGTTCCTACGATTAAAAAAAGTAACTGGCCCAAAGTCACCCAGCTAGCTTTATGCATGAGGGAGGACTAGAACCATATTTCCCTACTCCTAATCTAGTGCCTTTAACCACTACACAAACTGATTGCCTAAAAAGTGACAAATATGGAAAGGAGAGTTTAAAAACTTCCTTAGTTCCAATCAATGATTGTTGATCCAATCCACAAGCTTCAGTAATAAAGCAAATAAACTACTTTTTTGAGATTTATTTTTGTACCGTGGCATAGGTACAAAGAGCTTTATTTTTTCCTGAGAGTGAAGTAGCTAAGAAATATATGTATAATATATATGTACACATTCCAGTTGCTTTCTCCAGTGCATTACTAAAGAGTGTAGATGCTATCCAGAAACAATTATCAAAGTTCTGATGATGTAAAAAAAAAAAAAGCAATTCTAACAAGAATGACACTTTTCTCTTTTGAAGATTCCCAAGGTGCAACCAAGACTCATCTTTTGCATATGTCTACAGAGAATTCTTGAAATTCTGAAAATAGTGCCAATATAGTTGGCCATTGGAATAGGTCTACATGATTTAGGATTCAGGAAATTATGTGGCTTTTGACTCGGATGCTGTTTCTTTAGTGACTTTAATTTTGAAATTCCATAAAAGAATGAAGTGGTTTAAAAAGAATGCTGTTAGTTGCACACGCCATGTTATATAGCTAGCAGTCAACTAACGGACAAATACTTTGTTCATTTATTCATATATTTACATGGTTTTTCTTTGGATTATCTGTGTTGTGTCATTTGAAATTTTAATAGAAAGTGAAAAGATATTACATAAAATTGAACAGAATCAGTCACAAAAGTTCTCAAACTGAGGATTAAGCATGTTTGATATAATTGGAAGATATTAGATATTAATATTAGATATTAATATTAGAAGTGCTATTTCTCCAAAAAAAAAAAAAATCACGAGCCTATTCCATAGAAATGCCATGGGTAGCAGGAATACTGTAGATAGGTTATTTGAAATTTAAAAGAGTAAATTAAAAGATATGATAGGTTACTCAAAGTGTAACTTATGTTTTCAGTTTCTGCATATAGATGATTTGATAGTGTTAATATAGAAGTAGTTGTCCCTTACCAACTACCTCATTTAGTAACCATTCAAAGAGTTTGTCTATGGAGATTCTCAGTCATCCAGGTCATGGTTGTCCCAAATGTGCTTTTTCAGGAGGCAACTGAACTTCCTTGTTTTTCTTTGAAGACGTTTCGCTTCTCATCCAAGAAGCTTCTTCAACTCTGACTGGATGGTGGGAAATGGAAGGATTTATACTCTTTGCAGACAACTGGTCATTTGCATTCTTTCAGAGACTCAATGAGGCCCCTTGTAGGTTTATCTGTGTCATAAGGGTCACCTGAGTAGTGCAAATGTGTGTGGAGCCTTCTTGGCCGCAAGATGTTTTCTACCCTATGTCCCTTCACTGTTGGGAACAGGTGCAGGCTGTTGGGGATGAGTCTATGTTGCCTGCATCTCAAACTGAAGCACAAATGGTTCCTATAGGCTGCACTTTTTCTGGAAATCCATTCATACTCCCGCACCATTCAAAGGATATTCATCCCAAAGTGCTTAGCTAAATCTCTATGGAGATTCTCAGTCATCCAGGTCATGGTTGTCCCAAAGGTGCTTTTTCAGGAGGCACCTGGACTTACTTACTTACTTACTTACTTACTTACTTACTTACTTACTTACTTACTTACTTACTTTTTCTTTCTTTCTTTCTTTCTTTCTTTCTTTCTTTCTTTCTTTCTTTCTTTCTTTCTTTTTTCTGAAGCATTTCACTTCTCATCCAAGAAACTTCTTCAGATCTGATTGGATTCTGACTGGACAGTTCCAGTCACAGCTGAAGAAGCTTCTTGAATGAGAAGTGAAACATCTTCAAAGAAAGACAAGGAAGTCCAGTTGCCTCCTGAAAAAGCACCTTTGGGACATTCAAAGAGTTTTTTAAAAAAGTTTTTCAACTAATTGCTGTTCATCTGTTCCATTTACATATTTCCCGGCCAGCTCACAACAAGTATATTTAAAAGAGGATAATGAAGTAAAATCACAAATCACTGTCATGTGATATTTCACTTAACAACCACATTGATTCACCTTTTAACTGAACGGGAAGTGACATTATCAATTCATTCCAGTAATGTGATTTCCCACTTAGCAATTACATACTTGGCAACAGACTTGCTGGCCTTAATTGTGGTTGCTAAGCGAGGACTACCAGTATTGCTTTAGCATGACTGATCCATAGAATCTATATCCTACTATAATTAAGTCATACATTGATCATTTAGAGCAATTTATTAAACCACTGAGCATATCTGAAAACAAAGATGATATATTATGCTTCTTGATATCACAAAGGAGGAGTTTCAAAAATCAGGCAGCACTTGTTTATATGTTTCACTATGTTGTAGCTAATCAAGTAACTAGATTTTGTTGGATCATCTGAAACAGTTGTGCAGTGTATTAGATTCCATTCCAAATAAATGTTTCAGAGTGCCTTGGGACATGAACACAATATTTTCCTGCAAATCTTTCAAGCAGCTGTGTATTTTGTTGCCACTCATGACACCTTCCTGGAAAGAGATTTGAATGTTTTAAAGAGTTGCAGTTAGATGCTCTGCTCACCCTTCTATATTCTCTGAAATAATATTTCTGATTTTCTTCTGAAGGGATGCATAGATCTATTGCCTCTATTAATGTTCATTCATTACTTCATCTTATTTCTTGATTTGCCAAAACATGCTTCAATCCTTTACTAATATCCAATTTTGTTATATCTTTCATTTTAGAGGGAACCAAAGAATGCTAATAGTTGTATATAGATTAACAGAGAGAGGAAATAAACTAAGAAATCAATCTTACAAGTGTACTTAGAAGTAAGTTTCATTTCAACTCTTAGCTGACTATAGAAGTGCAGTATCAGAAGAATGATACATAAGCTATAAACTGGAAAAAAATCTGTGGACATATGTTTAATAGAGAAGAATATAGGTAGCTTAGGATGAACTGTGGAGTCCTTACTGTTCCTTGAGCTTGGTATTTTTCTCCCAGACATTTCATTACCGGACTAGGTAACATCTTCAGTGTTAGAAGGGAGTGGCGTTTGCTCGCTGTTTATATGCTGTGGCTTATCTTGTTAGTGTTGGTATGGGTATTGTTTTCTCCTGGTAGTGCCTTGATTAGGCTGTAGTTTACTACTTAAACCTACACTGAAGATGTTTCCTCTTGGAGTAACAAAACATCTGCAAGAGAATAACCAAAGTCAGGAAGCATTAAGGACTCCATATTGTTTAATATCAGTCTCAACCATTCTTCCTTTCCTACACAGAGAACTTTAATGAACCAATGTTTTTATTAAAGATTTGCGCACAACTTAAGCAACAACTTACTATGATAGAATTTCTCAGGTTTGGAATTGAGGGCTAATGGTTCTTCTTTGAGCAAGAAATAAGGAAAGGAAGACTTCCTAACTGTCCCATCTTATTTCCCCAATCAAAATTCTTATTTGCCTTATTTATGAAAATGTGTGTATTTGATGCATTATTTTTCCCCAGTGAAGCTGAATGTTTTTTTTTCTTTTTCAGTGAAGCAAGAAACAAAAAACCCCGCACTGAGCATTGAAGAATCTTGATAGGAAAGTTCAATAGAGTTTGAAACATTCCTCCCTTTTGTGACGCTCTCTCTCAACTCATAGCCCAGTGTAGCTGCATTTAATTAAGATAATCAAACAGTGAAATTCCAACCACCCACCTCTTATGTAATATGGAGTTTGGCCTACAAAAAGCAGTGTATAACACATACTGCAAGCCAATTCTCACCACATCTTGCAATTCCCATCCATTTCTAAAGCTAAGCATTTACATTTCCCCCACTTCTCAGCACTACTTCCTACCAGCTGTCCTTTCCTTTTTTCTAGTTCAACAGAGTAGTGTTTACGTGGGAAGAGATTGCCGTCTGTGACCAATTGTTTCTCTAGGAAATGAATCAGAGGGGAAGAATAAACATTTGTGGTATGGTGACCATTTCTGAGAATGTTCTGCCACATCACAAAGATCCCAAACATACAACAAGAGCAGTTCACAAACTGTGGTTTCCTCCAATGATGCGTCCATAATATTAAGAGGTGACTGTGTCATCTGCTAAATGTGTTTCCTTCATACAAAGGATGTTCAGAATAAATTTTATTACAAATGCAGATGAAGCTTAATTTATAGATGTCCTTGGTCCTGTTATGTGACCATACCTCTAGTCTAAAATCATTCTTGAATGTCTGTACTATTAAAGACACCTACATATGTGGATTGTCCTTTCATATGAGTGATACTGAGTAACTAACTATACAAGCCTTTTTAAATTTGGAAACTCTGAATCTCTTACTATCAGAATCTGTAGATGATGGTGATCAGAATTAATTGCAATTTCAGCATGTTAATTCAAAAGTCTGAATACATTCTATTCACATATAAGAGCCTGTCTTACCCAAGAAATAACTGAAGTAATAGACGAGACCACTGACCCATCAGTAAGGTGCTTCCCCCCCACTTTTGGTCACTACTCTGTATCGTGCATGAGTTGCATATCTCTGGCCCTTGTATAAACTATAGCATACTGTTGGATGCATTGTACTGTTGCATGCATGTACTCGTGGATGCAATACTGTCAATGCACTGTTCTTCTATAATGCGACTGTGGGGACCACTATTGTGTTGACAGTGGCAAAACAAATAACATAATTAACCCATGAAGTTTCTACTTTTTTTGCTCCAAGAATTTGATGTATTCTCATTCGGGACACATTAATGCCTCACTAGAAATGGCAGAAAACAGATGGAACGAGAGGAGGTAGGCAAACAGAAAGGAAGGAATGACAGATTAAACTTGCACAACATTCTTGATTAGCAAACATACCTTCTGTCCAGCAGACAAAGTTTTAGTTCTTAGAAAATTGTTGATTGATGGTGCATATAAATCTAGTAAGCAAGCTAGCAAATAAATAAATCAAAATTCAAAAAGAAAAAAGAAAATTTCTCTGAAATCCCAAATGCTTGACAAGAGCTTTCACTTCCTCACTTTCAAATACAGTCCTGTGGTGGCCAGTAAACTTTCTTTCTGTGCATTGAATTGAAGCAACCTTTTGTGGGGGTCCTAATAATGGTGATCAAATCAGTTAAATGCACAGAAAAAAAAACAGTTTTTTCGGCCATCATAATTTCTTCCTCAATCAATTTCTAATAACTTTTTTGTTGTTTATACAAACCTCCAGGGCAATATACGAAAATGCCTGACAATAAACAGATATAGGCAAAACAATGGAATTTCCCCCAAAAGATTAAGAGTTCCACAGCACAAGACATTATGTTTTAACAGTTCATCAGAGTTGGAAGGGACCTTGGAGGTCATTTAGCCCAACCCCCTGCTCACATAGCAGAGCTATACTAGGGATTCAAACCACCAAACTGCCGATCTTTCTGATCGACAAGCTCAGCGTCTTAGCCACAATTTGAACTACATCCTCAGTTTGTTCCCTTGCAAGTGCAAATGGGGCCCACAAGCACCCAACAAAATTTATTAGTTTCAAAGCAGGTCAGGCACCCCCTGAAAGTATTTTCCCCTTGCCTTGTGAGGGGGGGAGACACTCCTTCTCCCTCTAGTCTGTTGTTCTGTGATTTATATTGTTTAAAATTATTTTTCATCCCCCCCCCGCTCAACCTTTGATAGTAAATTTTAATAAGCCTTATGCCAATGCTTTTTAAAACCTATGGAAGTTTTTAGGGTGTGCCTGATGTGCCAACTTAAGTCTATTTTCAACTTCAAGATGAACCAATTTGTGGTACAGATCTAGACAATGGAACTTGTCTGGGTGAATGTTGAGCAATAGGAGACTGAAAAATACATGACATGATACAGAATATAGGTGGAATATCACCCAAAGCAAAAAACACTTTAGGAAGACAGTATAAAGCTAAGAAAAGATTTGTGTATTTGTGTGTGTGTATTGGGGCAATTAGAAGAAAGCATTGGAGTCAAATTGTTGAAGAAACTGAACATATTTTGCATTTAAAATACACAATTATATTTTTAAAAAATGCACCTAATCATTAGGAATTGTTGAAGGTTATTAAGGTTGTGTACCACTTCCTTTGGAATTGGTGAAAGGAAACAAATGTAGCACCTGCCTGTGAATCTCTGAACCATTTATATCAGGCCTGTCAAAGTGGCAGCCCACGGGCCACATGCATCACATGCAGGCCACACCCATCTTGGCTCCGCAAAAGCAAAAAACATCATCACAATACGTCATGTGATATGGTCAAGTTTGACACCAGTGATCTAGATCTTTCCTTGGAAACAGGCAGGTAGAAGAATTTTGTGATTATGCTTTAAACTATAGAAAGAAAGCAAAAAAATTGCTACAGATTTAGGCTGGACACAAGGTCATTCTCCCAGATAACTTTAATATCAGGCCAAAATGTTAAGGCAACTGAGAATATACAAAATCAATGATAACTTTTACATTTTGAGAGTTCTTGAGAAATAGGAAGAAAAGATAGCAGATGTTAGAACTATATCTCTTATCAACATACAGATTAGATGGAGTCATGAGTTGCCTTGTAACATGCCAATGGTACTTACCAAGTGTGCCACAGTACGACATTCAATAATGACTGTCCCAAAACTTGAAGATACAGAGTCATGTGGTGTTACCACTTTCAAAATCAGACTCATTTTCCCATTTTTTTTTTTAACTGATTTGCTCAAGGAAGAATTCTTAAACTTCACAGTTTGGATTTTTGAGAATGTATTCATTTATTTCTTTTACTGTTTTATGTTCGTTTTATTGTTCTGAGCTGCCCAGAGCTGTTTAAGATGGGCAACCAATCTATCAATTACTGAATATATCAAAATGGCTGGTTTCAAGATGCTAAGATCATACAAACCATGTTTCAGCTTAACACAAAGTGCAAATGCTTCCTTTTGATGAATGAAATATTTTCCTTAAAATGTTATAATATTTTAAAATTGTTCCTATTCCTGATGCATGCAACAATATGGACAACTAATAATAGGCAAGATATAAACATTATGCCTAACAAACTGCGAGGGCTTGAGAGATGAACCAATTATATGAAGGCTAGACCTGAATTCTTCCTTTATCTCAGAAGACATTTCTGCACAATTCTCAAGTTAGTCTACCTATGAGATATCATAACTGGCTGGATAGGTATCTATGGCATCTGAAAAGAAGAACCAATGTTTATAATCATGAGTATAATGACAAATTTTAGGGGATTACTAGGCAGCATAATTTTAGAATTATATAAGTGCTGAATTCCTTGTCATGATTAACCCAGAGAAGAAGACGAGAGTACGCAAACTTAGGATATTGGGGAAAGTGAAAACTAAGACTATTTTGAGCATGATAAATCATGGTTTATCTAAATGCATCTACAGTGATCTAGGGTCTAGTATTCAGGAATATGATCCTTTGGCGAGTAACTAAATAGAGTAAAATATCATATTACTGGGAATTCAAGGCTAATGCTTTCAGTAATTTGCTGCTCATTCTTTCCTTTTTGTCCCTTCTAAAAAACATTTAGAACAAATCCTATATGATTCTACCTTAGGTTGTTTCAAAAAGAAAAAAAAAGTTATTTCAAATTATCCAACAGTAAACAGAAGAAACAATTTAATAGACTTTATCAAAAGTCTAGTTAGGTTGTCTGGTATATGCCCTGATTGTGAGACATCTAGACTGAACTTTAGGCAAAAGAGATTTTCTGCCTACTTTTTACCTTATTCTTTGTACATTTATTGTGCTGATTTCCTTTGCTTTCTTCTTCCCCCTTCTCTAAAGAAAAATATCATCCTTTAACAATTGTTTTTTAAATTGCCTATTTTTCTCAGCAGAACAAAATGATGGTATTTTACGGTATCTTGTCACAAAGGCAATCTTTTTTCAACCATTTGGGAAGGTACATATCTGCTGCCAGGAGAAAGCAATAATAGCCCTTTTTAAACAAGGAGAACTGTTAAACTTTTAATACTTTGTGAAAAGTGTTTTTCTTCTTTGAAATGATTTCCTTGAATTTATGAAATTGGCTAGGGAATTGTGAGATTTGAATCCAAGCTTGATTTTTACAGCTGTTTCCATTAAGACAAAATGTAGAATATTTCCCTTTTTAAACTCTTCAAATTAATTTTATTAGAAGCAAGATAACCTGGTACATTATAACCTGGTACTGGTACAACAAAACATATAGTACATTTATTCTCATTTTAGAACAAAAATCACTGCAGTTTATGGAAATGGGAAAGTGCTTTATGCTGTAAACAAGTCCTACTCAAGGGAGCTGTCTAATTAAATTATGTAGGCCTCTTAAGCAGAAAGTAGTACTCATGGACAGCACATCCCAGTGATTCCAAAATAATACATATCTTGATGATAAATCATGTAAATGCTGCAATTATGTACTCATGTCTCATGTCTAATAAAAAATGTTCATAGTATTTGTCTTAGGTTAGAGTTTGCCATTTCCTATCCCCCTGTCCTTCCATGGATACCCATACTCATGGGTGGCTTCTCAAAGGCTTGAACAGATACATATTTCACTCACAAATAAGCCTGTAGATACTTCAGCTGACTGTATCTTATAGCAGTTGGTCATGGAACCATTTAAAAGGGAAATCATTCTTAATTTTAAGCAGCAGCCACCACCTAGGATGACATGCGACTTCTTTTGAACTGTTTGGAAAATTTCTTCCAAATTTAACTTTGGAAGTTTAACTAAAAAAGAAAAATCAAGAATTCTTTCTACTTACATTTTATGTTAAACGGTACTGATAAGAAGGCTTTAGGAATGAAGGAACTGGTCAGGATTCAGCTGTTATTGGCTTCAAAGAACCATAATGCATAATCAAACTGTTTCCCATGTTCTTGTAGAGAGTGGCCATATATCCACTGACTCAGAAAAGCAGGAGAATAAAAACCTGAATATAAATCCTGGAGTATAGATTTATATATCAGCTTTAATTGCTACATACTATAGTAGGCAGATCATCAGTGTTTAAAATTTCCTTTTTATCTGGAAAAAAAAAAACTAATATATCCAGGTTGAGTCTATGTGAATGCTCCTAAGTAATAAAGATTTAATGCCTGGAAAAACAAAAGATACAGTTGTGCTTATGTAAAGCATGACAGGAGTGACCCTGCAGTTCTAAACCAAGGATTATACTATGACAATAATAGTCCTGCTAACTAATTAATGAAGTTGCCATAGTTTTGTTCTGGTGTCAGAA